TGGGGGCCAGGTACCAGGGGCTCAGGGTGTCCCCAGCAACACAGCTCTAGGTGGGTGGGGCAGGCCCCCAAGGCACTACAGGATGTGGTCAGTGGCCCCCACCAAGTCAGAGCAGCATGCACTCCTGCGCTGGCAACCAGCCCGCACAAACTCACCAGAAAAGACCCGGCCAGATCACAGAGATGCACAGCTCACAACCCAACACTCCCAGGAAAACTCCCTCAGCCTGTCCCAATGAGCCTCTCGCAGATCAGGCCAAGCAGCCTGACAGCCAATCGCCAGCCTGGCAGCTCTGTAGGCACAGTGCGGAGAGCGGGGACCCAAGGCAGTTCGCTCACTTCTGCATCTCAATGAACAGCATGTTGGAGCCAGAGCGCACCCGCCAGGCATTTCCCTGGCTATGCAGCACAAGCAGTGCGGAGGGTGGGGATCCAAGGCCTCATGCGTGCACGCACACGCACTCCTGTGCCAATTCCACCAGACCAATGTGGTCCCGGACCTGACCCTCTGTGGGAAGGCCCAACCCTGAAAAAATGGTGCCCTCCTGTACACTACTCGTGTGCAAGCTCCACACTAGGGGAACAATGGTCCCCCAAATCTCCAGCTCCTGCACCAAAGGCGCTCAGTCAGCTCTTCCCCGCAGGCTCCTGGGCCCCACTCACACAGGTACTCCCTCCACCAAGAGCCAGGTGAGTGCTCACCAGCGAGCAAGTTGGTTTGCCGGCTCCACTGGTTCTCCAGCTACCCTTAGCCTCACCGAGTTAAGCAAAGAGAGTCCTCACTATTTTCTACTTCCAGCTATTGTAGAACTCCTCTTTCTGGCAAAGTAACTGGACTGGTGAGCTCAGTGAGGGGCCGAGGGGTCTCTCTCCCAACCAGAGAAGCCTCCCCACCACTGAGGTGTCCCTCACAGGGTTCGCCTTCTCTCGTCTCTGCCCCTCCTACCAGACTCGATGTGGCCTCCTCTTTAGTCCTTCGTTTAGAGCAGCGGTTCTCAACCTGTGGGTTGCAACGCCTTTGGGGGTCAAATGACCCTTTCGCAGGGGTTGCCTAAGACCATCGGAAAACAAAAAGATACCTACATTATGATTCATAACAGTAGCAAAATTACAGTTATAGAGTAGCAATGAAAATAATTTTATGGGTGGGGGTCACCACAACATGAAGAACTGTATTAAGAGGTCACGGCATTAGGAAGGTTGAAAA